GCTACGAGCCCCGGGGGCTGCGGGCTCCTCGCCGAGCTCCCAGGGGTGATGGGGAGCGGCCTCTGGGGGTCTGTGCAGACCCACAGAGCACTCAGCTGTGCTTAGCAGCCCCGTGCAAAGCGTGTTTCTGAGGGCCAGCTGCCTTCCCAAGGGCTGAGGGGGCTCTAGCCCCAGACCCCGAAGTGCTTACCGGAGCTTGGCATGCCTCGGCCCTTCCTGAGGGGCAGCTGACACCTCTGGCACCTTCCCATGGGGGTGTTTTGCCCTGTGCTGTCCTGTGTCTGGCAGATCTATGGACAACACTGTAACCCAGCAGCTGCAAAAGCTCCCCTGACAGCGGGTGAGCTGAGAGGTATCTGCCACTTCACCTCCCATCATCTTACAAATCAACCTGTAGTCAGTCTGCAGTGAGAGGAAAAGGCTTAGAAGATGCTCTGACAAGACACAGCCTCAAAGAAAACCATATGCTTTTAACCCCCTGGCCTGGGGCTGCCTTCCTGGCTTTGCAGGCTCCAGTCTCAAAGGACATGGCACTGTCTGTCACATCATCACACCTATCACTGACCATCACACACTGGTTTGTTTTCCATGTACCAGAACACCACATTTTTTATAGGCTCTAAAATACAGCACAACTGAGCTTCTGGGTGGCACATAAATACAGGTTCCTACTTTACTGCAGCCACTGCCTTCTCTCTCCCAGAGTTGTAATCCCTCATCTCCACTCCACAACACAACATCCAGAGAGGACAAGCTGGAACTGGGCAGGCAACTGTGCCAGCCACTGCTCCCGCCCAAGGCCAAAGCCAAAGAGGTACAGAGCCACAGGTGCTGTCGGTCTCTGAGACATTTGTGTGCCATCATCTGGTCAAACTGTTCCAATCTGTCACCTCTGAAATTTATTCTGGTGCAGGATTTCTTCTGACAGAGGGCACAAAGAGACTATAGTCATGTTAATAAGGAGCAAGTGCTGTCAGACAAAATATAGGAACAGACTGGAAGCAGGAGGGTGGGTGTGGGGCACAGCCATGCCCCACGCTCCAGACAGCAGCTCTGAAGAGGGAGCAGCACTCACTTATGCTAAACAAAACCCATCCACTCTCTTACACCTGGTCCTGGGACCCAGAGAATTGCTGAATCTGAAGATAAGCATCCAGCCCAGAGAAACAAATCCCGATAACACTCCCTTGTTTCAGTACTCCATAAATACAGGGAAACGTTAGAGCTGCCACCTTTGCTACCGGCTGTTCATCTGTCATTTAGTGCTGGCACTTCTATTCCTGTCTCAAATAGCTTTTGTCATTTTCCTTCCAAAAAAGCAGCATTAGTCAGCGTTGTGCCTCCTCCTTATCTGAATATGACACATATGAATGCAGGTCATGGGAAAGCAGAGCTGCTACCAGAAATAGCAAATTTTTTTTGAGAAAGATTTATCTACTGGTGGAAATTTCAGGCAATACGGGACATATAGGAGTATTTAGTCTTAAAATACACTAAATTCTCTGAATTCAATGGTTCTAGAAGTTCAAAATTTGAGGCAGAAGAGGACCTGAACCTCTATTTCACACCTGCTACGGCCCTAGAAACCTCATACATTGCTATTTAAAATATTTACTTCATGCAAAAGATTTCATGGGCTTGCAATCTAAATAAAAGGCAACAATGATTAATCTAACACAGTAATAGTGGAGGTAAATATAAGCCAGGCTTCGGTTAGTGCTAAGCTTTTTGCAGGCCTCATGGAACAATCAACAAAGCCAAAGTCACTCCTGCTTACCTGGGACTTTTCCTGAACAAGAAACCAAAATTTTTGAGGTGTAAGTGCTGTTTACATAATTCAAAACTGTTTTTCCTCTGTAGCCTCAGAATCCACAGAAATAGACTGGGTTGATTCTTTTTCTGAAAGAACTACTCTCAGGTGAATGATTTCAGTGCCATTTCACCCCACATTAAGTTTTCACTGGCCTGAGGAAGAAAATTGCTGACTAAATGAGACTGGATGTATTACCCTGTTTTCTAAAGATTCCTATCTCTTTTTAAGATAAACACAGAAGCACCCATTACTATCTGTAGGTTGGTGCTTGAGAGGTAAACTCTTTTCCTTTCACTCTTTTCCAAATTTCATTTTCCACATTGATTTCTGTTTTGCAGCAGCACTGTGTTGAAGCTTATACCACAGCACTCCATTACAGGATGCATCCACAGCATGAGAACATTCCTGAACATCCTCACACCTGCAAGTGAGAAATCATGACTAATACTCACTGCCTCCAACACACGCCTAGTGTAACTCTTCCTCACAAAAATAACCAACCCAACCCCTCCTCCGAGTGCTATAGTGAGTTATAAACTGTAGTTTACCTTTCTAACAAAAAAAATGGATCATTTTCTGTAACAGGCTGCCAGGAACAAGACAACCTCGACTGTTCTGTGTCTTGGCACGTTGCAATGACTGTGATGCTTTGCCTACAAACACAGCTGTAACGTTCAATAACAAATATCGATGGCTGAGAACCTTCATGTTAAGGCAAGGGCAGAGAACTAAGCTGCTCTGAAAGAGTCGCCTGACAGAATCGACTCCCAAGGCACAGACACCCCCGCCCAGGGATTCAGCTCTCGCACAGGAATGCGGGAAGGTTCCTTCTCTGAAAGCGGTTTTCCCGGGCACTCCAGGGAGGATGGTTCCTCCTCTGTAAGCGATTTTCTCCCGGGCACACTCCCTCGCTGGGCAGTTTCCTGTTTCCTCCTTACTGCTCCGAGAAAGGAAGGAGAAGCGGAGGCAGCATCCCCTGAGCAACACCCCGTTCCCACGGAGCAGAGAACTGGAGGCGCCGCGGGATGAACTCCGGCCGTGGGAGGGGTCTGGTGCGCTCAGCGCCAGCTCAGCCACCAAACCTGCGTGCCTGGAGCCCCCCACGGACACGGAAACGAACACGGACACGGGCCCCGCTCTCCCGCGGGGCGAACACGACCTG